AGTGGCCGGGGCGGGGGGTGGGGGGAATGTTGACTATTTTCCTTTCCTGCTTGGCAGAAAGACTGTTTTCTTCCTTCTGAATCCCCACTGCGGTTGAACTCCCGTATTGAGTTAATAACCGTTATCACTCAGTAGCCAACTTGCAAGCAAATTGCTCCAAGTTAAGCGGGCGAAATCTCCAAAGTCATCAAGATGAAGCAACGTCCAGGAAGGGGGTGAGCTCAAAACATCTGGTTCTCCAAACATCTTTGTTTTCAGCTGCTGTGGTCTGTTTGCCAAGGGTAGGGGCAAGTCCTGTCTGAAAATTACCTGGTTCAGAGTTATTTAGATTATATGGAGGGAGGTAAACAGCACAGGAGGCCTCTCGGAGAGGAGCAGGGTAAGCAAACAACTGTTTTCCAAAGAATTTTTGGACTGAGAAATATGATCCTGAGATGAAGGTTGAGTCCACATTTACTACTGAAAGCATCCTTGGGCCTCCCTCTCATTCATACAGTGAACCTGGGGAAGAAAGCAAGAACGACCTGGGTTTAAGTCAGATATACCACAGAAACAATCTGGAATACGCATTCGACCTCTGACTTGCAGAATGAGATCATTTGTATTTTATTTATGTATATTTCAAATTTGTCACCGCCCATCTCACTTGCAGACCCGTGCCAAGTTTCACTTGGGAAAACATCCTTGGTCCAAACCAAACACTTGATTTCAGGAGAGCCAATTTCAATAAACATACAGAACTACCAGGTAGGATCCCATGGAGAGAAATCGTCAGGACAAAAGGAGCCCAGGATGATTGAAGACTTTGCAAAACCAGGATCCTGGAAGTACGATCACGCGCTCTTCTAACGAGAAAAAAAAAGGCTGGGGTAGCCTAGCAAAGCCACTGTAGATGCACAGGGAGTTTTTGACCGAGTCAAGAGCCGAAAGGGACATGCCCAGGAAAAGGAAGAGGGGGTCTTCTGAAAAGAGGTTTACTAGCAAGTAGCTAACACCTGCAGAAAAACAGCATAACGTTTCTCAAGACAAGCTAAAACCATGAAAAGGCACGCTTTTGGCTATGTTAGCAGAAACAGGGAAAGAAAGGGATGTCCAGCTGCCAAGATAAGTTGGTAGGATATTAGCAGGGGATGGGAGAGGGTAGAGTTTGACTCATACTATGCTTTAGTCTTCTCCCCAAAGGAGAACTGGGTTCAAATGGAGAATCAACGTAAAGAGGAACTGGCGACTCAAGATACAAGAGATAGTTGGGGAGCTCCTGGCTCCCGTGAAGGAATGAGATCATCTCCAGGACCAGCTGAATCAGAACTCAGACTTGAAGGAGCTTCTGCTTGTCCTCCTTTCCGTGACCTCTGAGCAATCATGCAGGACAAGGACCCGCAAGAAGATCAGAGAAGGGGAAATATTGTTGCTAACTTCAAAAAGGGGAGGAAAGAGTCACTGCAAAACCAACCTGCCTGACACCCATACCAAGAAAAACTCTGGAATAAATCATTGAGCAGATGGTTTCTGAGCATTTAGAAAGGAATGGACTGGGAATGCTTCACAGGATCCAGCATAGATTTGTCAAGAATAAGTCATGCCAAACTACCGTGACCTCCTTTTCTGATCCAGTGACCAGTTTAATTGGCCAGGAGGACAGAGTGGACATGATCTACCTTGACTTCAGCAGAGCAGCCAGCAAAACCTCCCAAAATGACAAAATGTGAGCTGGACGATGAGGTGGATACAGAACTGGTTGGCAATTGTACCCAACAATTCTAGAGGGAAGTGCTGAGCTGAAGAACTGCAAACAAGATGCAGGAGGATCTTGACGAGCTGAAACATTTGGCAAACCCAGCGAGGTAAATTTCGACCCAGACAAATGTAAAGTGCTACATACGGGTAGGAAAAATCAAAGGTGTAGCAGGTAGCAGCTTGTGCAAAAGAGGACTGCCATGAGTGGGGCAGTATAAATATTTAGGAAACAAATACAATTAATAAGCCAGCAGAAGAAACCGCCGTCCCTCCTCCCCCGTCTCGGGTCTTGGCGATTCAGAAGCTTCATGTAAGCCCACAGAGCGGCGCAGCTGCAGAAAGAGCAAATGCAGTCCACGGCTGCGTCAAGAAGAGGAAAGTTGCTCAGGATGAGAAGACACCAACTTTCCTCCTTTCAAGTCGCAATGGCGCCTAAAGCTCTGTGCCAATGCTATTCTTTGTTTTGGAGGCCTTTTATTTTTAACTTTTACCTTTTGTCAGTGGATCCCAAGAAAGTTTGTCATCCTAAAAAACACTGAATTGGTGCCTAGCAAATATCCACAAGCAATCATAAAATTGTGCAGTTCGGTATTTTCTATAGTCACAGGACTAGAGAAAATGAAAAACCAGGAATGTCCCTGGCGCCTAAAAAGCCCCCCCCCCAGGCATTCAAAAAAGGCACAACCCCACGGTTGAAGCTCCCCCCCCCCCACTTTTTAATATGCCTCTTGCACATAAATGGCATCTTTCTAGCAGCATTTGAGCTCCAGGAAGGCTTTGAAGAAGGAGCTGTTCAGAAGGACCTTTGACTCCTACCGTATTTAAAATCACAGAAATTCTAATATAAATTCAGCTCAGGTGTGATTTTATTGCTTAAGGGTTTATTAATTTGGTTTTTAATTTGTTGCTATGTGTTTTTAATGAACTGTGCCCTGCTATGAGTCCTTGGGAGTGTGGCTGGATAAACATTTAGTAAATAAAAATAAATAAATGCAAGGGTGAGCCCATTCCCCCCTCCTCTGGATGCCAGTCACCCCTTCCAGGGGGATGGAAACCCCCAGACACTCCTCCAGATGTGTTTGATCTGCGCAAGGGCCAGATCTGGGGAATGATGGTGTCATCTGAACGCAAACACGGGGAGAAGTGTGGAAGGCACATCCTGAACTCATTTCGACATGCGATACACACACTCTTATCTGAAGGTGCTGTTCTACCTGTGCACATGAGTCACCTCTGGCCAGCCAGGGAACCGGGTGCATTCCAGAAGGGAGGTATCAGGAGAAGATACGTGCCAACGTTTAACGTCCTGTAAATACAGCGGGTATCAACAGGGAGATCGGCTGCCGTTGGCTTTGGGCAAGATTAGGAAGCCTGCTGGAAAAAAGACCTTTTTTCCTCTTATTGTTAATAACGCTCACGATAATGCTAAGGGTGCTGATGTGACCCAGATGTGCTCTGGGGAACTTTCAGTGAAGTGGCAAAGTGAAACCACCAGGGGGCCTTCCAAGGAGTCTGGTTTAAAAGGGAGCCCAGATGCTGGCGGCGTCACTCCTTCAGGTGGCCGTTCCCAGCCCAGCCGCGCTCCGCAGAAGCCTCTTGGATTGCGAAAGGCAAAGAGGAGCAAGAAGAAGAGCCTCCTTTCCCATCGCAGCCTTTCTGCCAGAAGGGCCAGCAGGGCTCCAGGGTCCTTCCCCAGGCTCCAACCCTGCAAGCCGCCGGGTCTCTTGGTCCAGATCGGTCCCCTGTCTCGCGGCATTGTTGAACAAGGATGGCCAACGGAGGTCTCCAGATGCTGGGCTTCATCCTGGCCTTCGTCGGCTGGATCGGCATCGTGGTCAGCACGGCCATGCCCCAGTGGAAAATCTCCTCCTACGCAGGGGAAAACATTGTGACCGCCCAGGCCATCTACGAGGGCCTCTGGATGTCCTGCGTCATGCAGAGCACGGGGCAGATGCAGTGCAAAGTCTACGACTCCCTGCTCAAGTTGGCAGGTAGGCCTCTGCAGGGACTCCCTTCGGGGGGCGGGGGGGGAGAAGAGGACCCCCTTGGCTGCCTTCACATAGCACATTTCCTTGGGCTGCTGAATTACCCCACTTTCTGGGGTCATACCGTACCACCCACTATTCGCGAGCCAAACCAGCTACCTTCGCACAACCTCCATGGGATGCAAAACTAACCAGGAGTAAAGATGGATGTCCAAGTTTAATGCAGCCACTAGATCTTCCCAGGCCTGGGGAGATGTGTTGGGTGAACCAGCTGCTGAGGGAGCTCTTTGGATTATCCAAAGTTTTCTATGATGTTGCATGGGGGTGGGGGGGGGCAGGTCTTGGGACTCTCTTTGCAAACGGAGGGGAGATCTGAGGCTGGCCAGCGGTGAGTTGCTCAAGTCTTTCTAATCTCTACCTTTGAGCCCAGCTCGGCTTAGTGGCTGCAGAACACCCCTGATGCTGCTGAATCTTCTTGTAGTTCGGATTAAGTTAAGTTCCCAAGTTTTGTGGTTCAGTTTAAGTTTCCAAGCCCTTCACCAGGGGTGCGCTGGTGCCAGCTCACCTTGGCTCGCAGGAGCCGATGGTTAAATTTTCTGAACTTTTGTGAGCCCACAGAGAGCAGAGCTGAGCCACCGTGCCTAGTGCGCCGATCAGCTGTCTGGCCGCTAGCAGAGATCTTCCTTCTTTCTGGTAAATAGCTCATCCAGTTCCAAAGAATTGGACTGGGTCACTTAGTCCAGTGTCTGAATTAATTATCCTATTATCCGACATACTTTTGGCATGATCAGGATAAATGTTTAAGGCTACAACTATTGAAAACACAACCGGTCTGAAGAAATACAGCCCACAAGCAAATTTTGTGTCTGTGAATCTGAGCCTTCCACAGGCAAAGGCTTACGCAAC